GGACACAGAGAGGCGCTGGGTGCTTCCTCCCATTTTGAAAATTGGAAACAGCTTTTATCCCTCACAGCTAGGATGCGGCGGGGACAGCCCTGCAAGCAGATCAGTTGGCAGCAAGACAATCTCCTGATGGGCGTGGCGCATTTTCTTGAAAGCACAGGTACATCAGCGGCCAAGAAGGGGCCAGCTGAGAGCCCCAACCAGGGGTCAGTCTGTGAGCCAGCAGGAACCAGAGACTCCCAGATGAGAGTCTGGGTCCTGTGCTGCATTGGGCTGAGTCGATGTAGAGATGCAGCTGGTGGCAGGAAAAAGTAGCACAGCAAAGTTGAAGCACCGTGGACTGCGTTTTCCTACCAAAACCCCCTCTCTGGAAACTCACTCGGAATTTCCAGACTAATTAAAGTTGTGAACTCGTCCTGGGGGAATATAAAAGACAAAATGCTTACGGTTTAAATAAGTTGGCTGGCTGCTTGGGAGTATTACATATAAAGAGATCGAGGTTGTGACAGTACAAGGCTAAAATGCTTAAAAAAATATAAATGTCAACACCCCACGTTGACAAGGTTGCAAACAAAGGGAACAGAAGTGGTAGGAGCTCCCAGCCCCTGCAATGTTGCCGAGGAGGTAAATTCACAGGACTAAAAGCATCTGCAGAAAGTTGCTAAGCAAACTGTTAGTGCTACCAAGAGAACCTAGAAATAACCCAAATGTCGTGGGCAAGGGCTGGGTTTCCAAATGGTGGCACATCACCAACACGATATACCAGGCAACTATTCAAATAATTGAAAGTTTTGAGAAACAATGGGAAGGACCCAAAAACCAAACACCATGAAGGCTTGAAAAGCAGCATTTAAACACAAAATTGTATGTACAGCGGTACATGAGTCTTTCTTTTTCTTTCTAAAAAAATTACGTTTATTGTTGCTACCTCATTTCATCAATAGACACAAGAATTCAGAGTGTTTTGTTTTTTTCAATGATTCTGTGGATCACATTTCATGATGTCATTTAGCATTCTAAAGTGACTTCAACCAAACCGGCTTGGCTATGTTGAAAGGCACAAGGTTGATACCCAGGGTAGGTATTGCTATTTGAGATATTTTTAATGTAAACTTCTAAAAAAAGGGTAACCGCTGGTGAGCAGAATGGGCAGCAATTGTGCAAGCCAAGCTTTCTCGCTCAGCATTGACCTTGATGAAAGGAATCAGGCCTCCTTCATTGAAGTTCAAAACAAAACGAACCATCGCCTCATTTTAAAGAGCAAAAGCCACAAGCCACAGGGTACAGCCTCTGCCAGGGGACGCTTCCATTTCTTGCTTCCTATTGATAAACTGCAGCAAGTCCCTCTTATTTAGATGTGAGAGTGGAGACCGGCTGCCTCTAGGGTTTAATGAAACGTAGGAAGAGGGGGGAACTCAGAAGAGAAGGACCACCGAGGACTCAGCCTCTTTGTGCTGTGTGGTGGAGTCCATGGCACTGGGAGAGCTCAGAACCTATGTCCACTAGAAGGAAAAGAGGCCAGAGGCGGACATAGGCAATCCCTCCAGGTGTGAGGGTCTGCTGGGAACACTGGGGTCGGGGGGGCTGGAGCCAATATCGTCGGATAAATGGCATGTGCAAGGTGGTTTGTCAAGTTTATAGCACGCACTACCCACCAGAAGGAGCACCAGCCAGATCCCCTCCTCAGGCAAGAAGTCAACCAGCCTTCCGCTGTGAATAATTCACTCCTCGTGTGCATACTGCTGTCTCTGGGCCACCCATAGGATAGCAGAAAGCACACCAACTTGAGGCAGGCAGAGCTGGCCTCAAATCCTGGCTCCACTATTCACTGTTGTGGGGCAGAGGGGAGGTTGCTGTGACTCTCTGACCCTCAGTTTCATCCTCTGAGCATACAGGGAAAAGGTAAGTGTGATTTTTCCTACACTCTCAACTGGCACTGAGTAGATTCTCAATAAATACGATTGGCAATTAGTAGCACTGGTGATGACAGAGTAGGATCGTTATTATAATAAGTAGCAATTTATATGTATTCACATATCTAGGTACGTTTGATGTGGTGAAAGAGAGACTTGGCCATGGAATGAGCTCAAACAGAAACTGTCCTAGCCATTTGTCATGTGTCCAGAAATCACTGACAGAATTAGCCAAAGAAATGACAGTAATATGTCCAGCACAGGGAAAGGGCCCCACAGCAATGGTCACACTGATCTCAGGAAGAAGTGGACGAGAGGAAGCCTGGCCATTGTCCTGGGCCTCCGTTCATCTTCAGGTACCCAGAGAGCTCTGTAGATGTGACCAGGGCCTTGCGTCTTGGGAGGACTCCCGCAGACGGAAGATGTAAAGTCTTTACCGCAGGGACTCCGGGGCTTTACTCAGAACTGAATTTCCAGAATGCAGCCCTCGGTACGTTTGTGGAATGGAAAAGTGAAGGAATGTGTGAGGGCCTGGCCTACGCCACTTGGGGACTGTTGAGGTGGGGCTCCTCATCTCCCCTGGCCCGTCCCCCCCGGCCTCGTCTCATCAGCCTGAAGCAGGTCCACACAGGAGTCAGAGATAGGAGGAGGAGGCCAGCACTCTCCCTTTCCTTCTCCTTGGCATCCTGGACACGCCCGATGCCGATGCTGCTCCAGCATCCTCTTTGTCCTGACTTCTGTCCCGGTGCCGAAGATGACAGGTCAAATTAGAGTCAGACAGGCAAAGTCACCTCTCTGCCCAGCCTGAGACATCTAGGTGGTGCATCCTACCAGCGGGACACTTGAGGCCTGTGGAGGACTGGTGGCTTTGGTGCAGAGAAGCTGCCTGACCTTGACATGGAACCACCACCGTAGGGATCGTGGCTCTACTGACGTGTGCACTGTGTGGACAGCGGTCACTCTGAAACCTCTTGGCCTCAGTGTCTTCGGGTGTAAGATAGGAAGTGGGCATCGCCCGGCAGGACGTGGTCACCTTAGAAATTAGATGGGGCACTGAGGCTAGTCTGGCGAGGTGTGCAGCTCGCAGTTGTCAGGATGGTGGAAATTACTTTCATGAATAGCAACATTGGTGGGCAAGAAGGATCCTTCCCCTGGAGGTTACTTATTAAACCTACTATGTGCCAGGAGCAGTTCAAGGCACGTGGCCACACTATGAAAAAGACAAATGCCATGGGGTCTCTGATAGAGGGTGGAGAAGAGCAGTAAAGAAACTCTTCATATGGCCAATAGTATTGTCCTCATATGACAATAAGGGTGAGGGAGGCTGACAGTGGTGATAGCGCAAGTGGAATGGCTGGGAATGTCACCTCGTTGGACACGGGTCACACTTGAACAGAGATGGGAAAGCAGCGATGGAGGAGGCCATCCAACCTCCAGGAGGAAAGCTTTCAGCCGGGATAACAGGTGTAGAGACCTGGAGGAGGCCCAGGGGGCCTGCTGGAGGGACCCAGGAAGGCCAGCGTGGCTCCTAGCAGAGCAGGGGAGGTGCCCACGGGGGAGGACCAGCTCACGAGAGAACTCAGGCCACCGCTGGAAGGTGGACTTCGCTCAGTGAAACGGGACGTTGGCGTGGTCAGCTTTTGCTGTAGAACACGCCATGCTGAAAATCAGTGGTTTGAGATGACAATTTTATTCATTTTTGCACTTCTGTGGGTTCCCTGTGGCGTTCCTTCTCTGGGCTGGCTCAGGCTGGGGCTGTGTCCTCTGTGATGACCTCATGTAAGTGAGGTTACCTGGATGTCAGGAAGGTGACATTATCTGATTCACACTTTTAATGGTCCTAGAATAATAAGGATTTTCTGAGGGACAGCAGAGCCCATGCGAGGCTGTGGCCAGGCCTGGGCTAAGGGAGAGCGACGATGTTCCACTGGGTGGAGGCCCAGAGATGAATGCATGGCGCTGCCCAGACTGACGCTGCCATTTTCAGGAAGGGGGACAGGACACACATGCCACCCTCAGGGTCCCAGTACTTCATAAAAGCATCTGTGCATCATGCCAGAGTGGACTTCCTCTGGTCCTCACTCCCTTACCCAAACTCTGAATTCCCAGAATCTAGCTCAAGATGACTGTCGGGTGGATGGAGGATGTAGGAAGACTTGGTCTCTGAGACCTAGGGGTCGTCTTAAGGGTGTGGCAGGTCAATGGAAAGAGAAGAGTCCCTGGCTGACCTCCTGGGTTAGACCCTCCATCACCACGAGCCAGGTGACCGCCGGGAAGCCAAGCTCCCAGGGCTGGCTGCAGTGACCCTGCGTAAGTAATAAAGAACTCTTCAGGTGAAGTCAAACGGTAGTCACTTTTCTTTTTCTTTCTTTCTCTAACAGAAAATACGACGCTGGCATGCTAACCGCGTGAGACAACTTGGCCCATGGACAGCCACAAAGCACAAAACACAACACGAACTCAGAGAAGAAGCAAGAATGGTGTTTTCCTGGCGTCTACAGAAGCGCTTTATTTTTCCTCTAGATTTCTTTTCTAAAAAAAAAAAAATCGAAAACAAAAATAAAAAAACTGACACAGACTTTTAAAGAGACGATAGGGACTTTTAAAGAAACTTTAAACGAACTTCAGGTGAAATAGCCAAGCATGCTCTTTTATTAAGCATGGGATGGGAGGAACAGGAGGAAGTAGCAGCAGGTGGGAAACCCAGCCACTGGGCTGTTCTGGAACCTTCCAGGGAAGAATGATGAAGTATTTTCACTCCCCACCCCAAGAATATTCCATGTACCCCTGAGGACACGCTGCCTCCCATCTTGCCCATTAGGTAGGTAAGGAATGATTTGCAAAATGGGTTATAATCTCTAAAGAATTTTTTGGATAGCTTTGGCAAGGGAGTGGAGGACCGGCTAGCCCCGCCCACTGCACTGCGTCTCTGGGTGTCCCCATTTCAGATGGCTAGACCTAGGTTCTGAGATTCTCTCCAGGAAGTGGTCAAACTGCCTCAGACTTGGTGGAATGAATAACTGTTTCCTGGGTCTCTGCAGCATGAAAGGATGGGCATTTGCTTGTTCTTCCCTAAGCAGGAGAAAGCCAGCCTCTGACTGTAATGATGGCCATGGTGGTGGCCGTGTGGGATAAGGGGACACACCAGGCTGTTCCAAAACCGAGAGTGAGTTGCTCTGCTTCTACAGCGAGGGAAAGAACTGCACACCCATCAAGCTTTCCCCTCCCATCAGGCCACCACCAGAAAGCAAGGGACCCACACCCACCCTGATCCCAGAAAAGCGACATCGTCCCTTGACCCTGCGATTCCCTGCTTCCCCTTGGTGCTTAACATTTTTCGCTCTGTTGCAATTTGCTTCTTTTATGGATCTGCGCTGGAGGGGCGTGGAAGCCCCCAAGATGCTAAGTAGGAGGGGCCGGCGTTGGCCCGTGGTGCTGCTCAGGTGCAGGGACGTGGGAGCCATTGTCGTCCCAGCTCCTAGCTGGACTGCCCGCCGACGCGTTCCTGGACCAGCCTCTCGCTGAGCGCCCACAGCGCCCGGGCCGTGTCTTCGCTCTGGGCTTCTGGTGAGGGCAGGCAGCGGCAGCAGTTGTTGAAGTACATCCCTCCCAGGCCCTCCAGCTCCGGAGCCGCTGCGCAGTACACCGTGGTGGCAGCTCCCTGTTGCTGGAGTCAAAGATGAAAAAAAAAAGAAAGAGAATGTGTAAGTCGAGGGAGATGTCCTTCTGACTAGGGACCAGCCAGTCTCCTTCCGCCTGGCTCACCCGAGTTGGGTGTCACGTGGTCAAGGGTACTGAGCTCGAAGCCCATGACCGTCATGGGAAGACAAGTTCACAAACTCCACTTGGAAAGCTTGTGTGACTTTGCACCCCTCCGACAGGAAGAAGCTTCGAAAATAAAGACACTTGCCAATATGTCCTGCCAGGTGCCTCTTCTGCGAAGAGAAAAGACAGAATCCTTCCTAACACACAGGCACACATTCATCGACCCTCGGCTTCCCGATGTGTAATGTAATTTGACACCTAGATCTTTCTAGAACTTTCTGTCTGGACTATTCACTCTTAATTACAGCCCATCAGATAGAAAACCCGAGTGGGGCTAGAGGCAGATCGGTCCTTTATTCTTTGCCCATGGTGCTGCTGGGGAAGAGTCTGCTATGCTGTTAGGATGTTTAGAACACACAGAGACATGCTCCGCACACGTGCCCACACAGACACACGTTAATTTGTCCAAAAAAAAAAAAACAAAACTGTTCGTAAATGCCATATTTGTCCTGGATTTACAACGGGACAGTGGCTAAGGGGGTGTATTTCCTTCTGGCGCACTTCAAAAGGCAAGTTGCAGTGAATGCCATTGATCACTCTCCATCGCCTGGCATGTGACAGTTGGGGCTGTGGCTGGGGATATGTGCGCTGATGGGGCACCACGTCATCTCCACTGACAGAATACTGCCAGGATGCTGTAAAGAGGGCAGGAAATCACTTTGCTTTGCAGGCCATAATTAAAAATAATAGGCTGCTGCTCATAGGAAGACACGATACGCATGGCTCTAATTTAAAACCAATACAGTTTACCTGGCACCTTATGATTATTTATGCGTATCGCGGCCATGGCTGCATCAACTAATTATCAGCCGACGGGGAGGGGGTTGCCAAAGAGGACCGGAACAGGTAACTGCAGACCGGGCGCCTTGAGGAAAACATGAGGGGTGTTTGGTTGTGGGGGAAGTGAATATCCCCAGTCACCCAGAGGTCACCACTTTCCTGCCCCTACACAGTGTAAAAGCAGGTTGCTTCTCAGAGGGGCATCTGCCTAAAGGGTGATTTGGTTTGCATTTGCTGTGATCGTACTCAGAATCATCAGGGGCCAGGGCCATGCTAAGAACCAGGACCTCCAGGTGTTGTGATTTTAGGAAAGTGGTATAAAGCAGACTTGTTTTGTTGATGGGTGTGTGTGTTTTGTTTTGACTTCAAGGTCAGGGTCAGTGGTCACCTTTGAATTGGACCGACCATGGAACGGTTGAATGCAGCCAAGTGACTAGGTTGTGGGACAGGTGTCAAGTGTGAGACACAAGCTTTGGTTCAATTCCACGGGACCAGTTCCGTTAGTCTGGAATTTGAGCCGACAGGACTGGAACTGAATTAAACAGTCACTGGTTTGTTTCCTCCCCAGCCCCCTCACTGTGCCCACTCCCCAAACAGCCTGTTAACGCCTTGGATTCTGCAGTTTCCCCCCCAACTCACTTGTGTGGCCAGGGTCTCATGGAAGTGAGTTCGGGTCATCCAAATTTCCCTTTGATGAATTATTAGTCTCAGTGACCCCTAGCTTAGCACCTGCCACATTTACCTGAAGACCTTCCAGTGGTCTACCCTGCACCCCAAGCTGGAACAGGGACAGAAAGGGACAGAAAAAGAAGAAGTGGGGACTACAAGGTTCACCCAGATAACTAAGCCAAACATCTTCCACCCTGGTTTCCAGGAGAGTTTGCGTGGAGATGGTGTTCGCAGCAATTGTGGGGTAGTCTGTCTTGGGTTCCCATTTTACTTGGCAGCTGCAAAACCCACCGGGGCACGGTCAGGTGGTTTGCCATTGACTTCCAAGTGGGTGAGAATGCAGTCAGTTCACACTGAGGTCTAGCCCCTTGTCCCCAACCCCTGAGAGGTCACCATATCAGTGTTGGTGCATCACCACAGACTGGCCTTCCACAGTTCCCTGGGTCCTGAGAAAAGACCCAGGAGGCCAACTGGGAAAGCAAAGAAGAACCCTTTCAAACCCATGGCGTATCCACACATTCAAGGTTGTATTTTGCCACTCTGCGCATCTAATATGGTCTCGTGTTGCCCTCTGGCCTCGATGGACTGCTGTTTCTGCAAAGAAATTTTGTAGTCACTTTGGAGAGCAGGGACATGCACTTACCCTGCATGGAATATGCAAGCATGGCCACTGGCCTCGTTTTGTGTGAGCCGACATTTGGCTACTCTGCCAAAAACCATGACTTTCAGAAAGCCCAGTTTTTTTTTGTTTTGTTTCTTATCGAGAGTTGGCTTTGGTCCCCTGCCACCAGGTTTGGAGTGGTATGTAATCTAAACTTCATTGCCAGTGGCTCTGGCTTTGAGAAACAGCACAGGAGGGCCCCGGAAAGCAAGATCACCTTCTCCAAAGATCAGCTGAATACATCTGGCAAAGTCTCCCTCGGATTTGGCATGGTCCTGCCATGCTGGACAATATCTGTTGGCCCCATGCCCGCTACTCCATGGGCTTCTCGGGGGATTCTCTTTCCAGCTATCCTAAGGGCAACCTCTGAGTGACATCTTTCTACGATCAGATGTGACGACAGTTTAATGACAAACAAGTTCTTGTTTTTCGCTCATCAGCTTTTTGGTCTGCGTATCATCAGCATGAGACGGAGCCACGTTAGCGAGATCTCATTAGTAAACAAGTTGGCACCGCTGATACAAGATGAAACATTCTTAAACTGATAAAAAAAAAATTTTAAAGGAGCACTTTAATCACCATCAAATGACTTTCACGCCACTTTTGGGGGCATCGCTACATAATTCAGAAAAGATGAAAGAGCCGTATGAAGGAAGTAATGTTAACAACGCTGGTGTAAAATATCTGTCACCATTGCTACTGATCCACTGTGATAAAATAATAACACCTTGACATATAAACACTGGCTGCAGCTGTGGGTTCCCCTAAGTGATTTTTTTTTTTTTTTTTTGAGAACAATTTATCAGTAGGTTGCAAGCAGCTGCTGATCACGGGACCTTCTGGGAAGCAGCACCTCCGTCCCCTGCCATGGCAATGAGGCAGGGTGTTGACACGGGACTGATCATTTCTGGGAAACCCAGCAGAATCTTCAATCATGCCTGAACGCCATTTCTGATCTAGTCAAACATTTGTGAGCTTCCAGAGGAGAACTGTGCCATCCATCTTTCTAGTGTATGTAAAATTACCTAGGATTCTTGTTCAGGATTAAGCTAAGAGCATCCTTGTAATAAGGGTACATCTTTCTCTTTCAGAAGTCATTTGTCAGGTTTGCGGTGCAATCTTCCACTAGAGAAAGGTGGGATTTAGGAAGCAGTTGCTGTGTGTTTGTAGCGGAGGCCCTGAGATCTAAATTATCCATCCTTCCAGAACCCATGTTGGGATGAAAATGTTAAGTAGCCTCTTTTCATCAACATTTATTTGATAACCGCTAGTCATCAATTTGTAGCTGTCAGCACAGAATATAAATGAATATTGACTCCTCTAAAGGAAAAGTACAGAGGTTTCTGATAAACAATACGATGTAAAGGAAAAAAAAAAAATTCCGCATATTGACATGTGTAATGCACTGGCCAGGACTCTGGTATAATACTTACATTCTGATAAGGACACAAGTTACCATTAATGTTTAGTTTTCAGGTTTCTCTGCTTTAATATGCATGCTTATTTAAAAGAAAGGATAGATTCCTGTCTTCAAGCAGATGTAACTATGGAATGTATTTTAAAATAAACACAGACTCATGGCGTATCCACATGTTCCATGATGGCAAGAGCAGGGGACATTCTAAGATGGCTTTATCACAACCCGTCGATGCCAGGACATGGCACGGCAGAGGCTGAATTCATCAATGAACACAAAAAGTAGAGTCATGGAAGGCAACAGGGCACCGTAGCGGATCCGCCTTGGAACCCAGGGGCAGGGAAGGAGGGCAGTGGGCAGAGTTGAACTCCTGGGACAAAGAGGTGATCTGAAGTGAGCCAATGTAGCAGAAAGGAAAGGCAGGGGCCTTCAGACCTCACAGCTTTCCTGATTACTCCTGGGGGGTCTGTTAGCCAGGGCACACACTCCCCAAAAGCAGAGCCAGTCATCGAGTCCAGGGGCTTGAATACCCCAGGCAGGGTGATGTGTCATCAGGGAGGGGTCAGGGAGGGGATGGAATAAATGGCTGCTGTGACTCCCTCTCCTTCCTTCCCCTGCTGCCAGTGACGCTCCCACAAACAGGTGCAAGGTGGGCTGTGGAGTTCACCTGCAGACACCTTGGTGCTTGGGGCAGAGCTGCTCCTGCAAACCACCTGGCATCAGATTGATCTGAAAGGTGACGGATGACAGCAAGAGACCGTGTGTTCCCCACCCACTGCCCAAGAGCCCTCTCTGCAGTGGACACATCGGCCACACGTTCCACCAGTTCACACAGCAGCGCAGTTTGCACAGGAATGGCGCTCACGGCCTCTCTGATGACAGGGACCGGAACAGTCGGTGCCCTCTTCCTCCGCGGCAGCCTTGCGTAATGGAATTGCACAAGGCAGTTTGGAAGAAGCGCTAATCAGCAAACAGGCCAACATCTGCCAAAACCAGGGGAGGGAGGAGAAGAGTACAGACTTCTACCCTGGAGAGGACTCCGCCCCCCAAACTCTGTTCTGCTTTCCAGCGAGTTCCAGCCAATGGGGACCTTTCACCAGGTCACCATGACTGGCACTTAAAGAGAAGTTACCCTTTGCCAGGCCTCCCCAAAGAAGCTTGTAAGAATCATATTCTAACCCTCACACCCTCTCAGTGAGCCAGGAACCGCTAGCATCCCCAATGACAGAGAAGCACCAGAGACCAGAGCCATTGCCCAAAGCCACACAGATACCAACTAACTCCAGAATCCATAGGAGTTGGTACAAGGAGTCTTCCTTCCCAAACAAATGGCACAGATATGGCCATGTTGCCCATCTGCCCGTTTCCTCTTGTCTCCCATTCGGCTCTCAGGCAGGTCACATTTGGCCAGAGTGATCCCAGACGTGGCCTCCATGTGTTGATTTGTCGTGTGTTCACCTGAGAAATGTTCAAAGGAGATTTTGGATTGTTGATTTAGCCGGTGAACTAAATTGAAATTATATCCATTTGGATTAACAAAAAACGAAGACTCAGCGTCCCTTTGGATGATTCAATAGCAAACGAACCTCAATAAAGAGGTCATCTGATTTTAAAGGCCGCCTCCAGGCACTCGGTTTACCAAGCTAAGGCACTTAGTCCTCAGTGCGATAGAGTTTTTCAATGCATAACCGTCAAAATCCGTGAAAACTGAGTCCTCTCCGTGACCTTTCGTAGGCCCACGCTCTAACACGCTCCGTCAGATTTGCAGGGGAAAGGTGCAGTTCACCCTGCCCCCACCCCAACAGGTCTCCAACGAATTAATTTCTACCAGTTTCTCACAGTTGAATCCGACAGAGGCCTTGGACAACACAGGCTGAGACGCATGCACACACTCCCTGTGAATATTGAAATTCCACTTTCTTCCTAAGCCCTCGGGAGCTTTGCTAACTTACAGGCTGTTCCGAGCATTTTCTTACACACGGGCTTGCACTCCACTTCTCGTGTGGAAAAACTGAACATCAGGAGCACAGATAATTGTTTTCGGGCTTTGAAAGTGTGAGAGAGTGTTTTGGAGAAGCTGTTCAGGCCCCGTGGAGCCACTGCTCCCCCACCGAAGGCAAAACGCCCACTTTAACCCGAGGGCCTGTGTCTCTTTGCTAAAAACAGGCTGACAAGTGTCCACAGTCTCCGGTTCCCTTACAGTCGACTCTCCCCACCAAAGTGAAGAATGCCATTCCCCAGGTGACATTGAAGACACACTCTGTGGCCAGGGTTTAATGGCAGTGGCTCTGAGGGACAGCCAAGCAGTAGGCCGCACCAATCTATTAGTGAGTGCGATTGGTCCAAGCACAGACCACGGCCAGACGTGCAGAGGACACACTGAGCCAGGTGGCGCAGGAGGAAGAAGGTCATCTTTCAAATGGCAGCCGTAAGCTCAGAGAGAGAAGCTCATGCTGACCGGGCGGGTGGGGGGTGAGGACTTTCCAGTGTGCAGTAAAACAGGCACCCCAAATAAGACACCCCTAAACCTGATCAGGTCCCTGACCCAACACATGCTTTTCTAGCTCCATCTCTGAGGCGTGTGCAGAGGCTGGCTTAGGGCAGGGTGAGCTGAAAAGTCCCCAAGAGAGTTGCTATCCCTCCTCTAAGAGACACAAGACCAGCGGGTTCCAGCAGGAACACTGAAAAGAATTCTTTAAAGACCAAAGAATATAACTGTCTTCCTTAGCTTTAAACTGGGGGGAGGAATAGACAGGCAATCCCAACCACCCACGGACCCCAAAACCACGTTTGCTCTAGAGTGGGGGTGGAGGGCAGGGGCAGCTCTCCACTTCAGCTGTCCTGTGGACAGAGAGACCTGGGCGGGCTGCCAGGGCTCTGCTTTCAAGTCCACGGATTGTTCTAGATGTTTCCTTGAAATCCGTGAGGCCCTTTTCATACCTTCCCCATGTGCCAGGATTCTCACCGTCAATGTTCCAAGGACTCCATAATGGATTCGTGTCTTAAAGAATGGAGGTTCAATAAGGAGAAGTCTTCCCTTTTTCTGAGACCGGAGACAGGCTTGTTGGGAAGGGGTGGGGTTACTTTAATGCGGGAAGGAAGGAGGGGGCTCAGTGCGACCCTCCGGGGTGATTTTATGCCTGCCGTAGGTGTTCTGGACTGATTGGGCATGAGGGATTCTCTCCAGAAATAAGATCATGGACTGTGGATGGTGCCTTCCGTCCATGAGAGAATTCCCCGGGCCCTCCCTGCTGACGTCACCCCGTACCCACCCACGTTGCTCGAGGTTCAGTCTCTCCTTGAATGGGAAGTTCTCTTGCTGGGATGGGAAACTGCTCTGGGGTATCCGTTCTTCCACAGTTTCGCTTGCATTGGCCGGGCAGAAGACGTTGGCCACCATCTTCCTGACAACAGCTTCCTTCCGCCTGGGACAAATCGGATGGCCTGTCACTGCAATTTCCCATCTGGGCCGCCTCTATGCTGAAGGACCGACGAGTGTTTGCCAGAGATGAAAGAAGATATTTAGCTTGTGTTCATTTGAAGCATTTTACATTTTTTAACTCGACTTTAACCTCTGTTTTATAGCTCTCTCTGTATCCTGTACATAAATGTATGCCTCTGTATTCGCCATGTCTATTGAAATAAGCCTGTGAAATGGTTGCCAGGCAGAATTAATGGGTTTAGTTCTCACATAGTGGTACAAGGAATATGTCCATACGACCAGTAAGGCAAACAGTTTCCCCTCCCTTTCTGCATGGAACGACCCCACTCGGTCTGCCTGCCACAGTAGCTCATTAAGAAAACCAAGAACTGAACGTTTTGTGAGCAGCCAGGATTTCAGGGCAAACCCCAAACACACTGTTTGTTTAGGTTTTTAAGGTTGACGGTTCCGTTATGCTTAGGTCACATATATATTCTACGACGTAGTTATGAAAAGGCGTTGGGGGGAGGGACACACAGGGTCCCTGATGGGGATACCTCATGCTAAGGAATTAACTCTTGATTCTGTCTTCCCAAAGTGAATTAAGAGGATACACCCTGCAGTATTCAGACCTCAGGGGCCGGCCCCGATGTCTAGCCCTGCCGTGTCAAGTCGGGCCTGTCTTGGTTAGGTATGTGCATTTTCATAGAGAGCTCACCGGAACAGATCATTTCTCAGGCTCAAAGACGCTGGCCTTGTTAATATTTCATTTAGAACATACTGTGGAGAGTGTCTCATTTATATTACTTCCATAATTAATGGTGATAGCTTAGGCACTGCCTTTACAGCGAGAGATCTCTTCACAGTGGTCGGTGGGTAATGAGAAACAATAGATATTTCATTCACCAGCAGCTTGTTGCTAGTTAGTAGGAAATGATCGTGTGTGCTGTTGCTTTAATTGCCAGGGTAAATAATTCTGCCTGGGTATTAGTGAGCATTTTAAAGAACTTGATGCAAATAGACTAGAAACAAAACAAACAAACAACAAAAAAATTACCTTGATTATGCAATACCTTAGCATAGAAAGTTACAAAGGTATGTCTTTTTTTAAAAAAAAAAATTGCATTCTATCATGCAAATATTATCTCCATATGCATGTGCTGACTACTCATGTACTGTATTTTAGGAAATACAATTAGGCTGCCTTTCTCTTCCCCTCTGTAGACTGTAAATAACTGTAGATCTTTCTCTTGTTTCCCTATGTAAATATATGTAAATACTAACAAGCTATGCATGTTGATATTCTAGGCAATTTCAGGTACTTTTATAATCTGAAGGCATGTACTTGAACTGGTTTGTTAAGGGTGGGGGGGCTCTCTCAAACTCTTTAAAGCTGAATAGAAATTAAAGATTTCTTCCTAGATGATTGTGGCTTCTTTTGTTTGCCTTCTCCTTGCAGAATGGAGTCCCTCCCAGGTTGTCACCTCACAGCGAAGAGACCCTGAGCATACTGCAGGCCCAGAGACCATAGCTGAGCTACGTGGCTTGGGTTTTTACATGCTTTCCTTGGATTTTTGAAAAAAAAAGAAAACTTTCAGAAGCCTCAGATGGGCTTCTTTAGATTTTTCTAGTCCAAGAATTTTTTTTTTTTTTTTTTTTTTTTGAATCAGGGATTGAACCCAGAGGCACTAAACATCCCCAGTCCTTCTTATTTTTTATTTTGAGACAGGGTCTCATTAAGTTGCTCAGGGCCTCGCCAAGTTGCTAATGCTGGCTTTGAACTCGTGATCCTCCTGCCTCAGCCTCCCAGGCCACTGGGATTACAGGTGTGCCCTACTGCGCCCTGCTAGTCAAACTATCTCCAGTGAAAATGATCTCTCTTGTGCCCTTCCTACATCTAACCATAGTGCAAAAACCCTGTGAAAGGGTCCTTCCCATTTCAAAGGTGCAGAAACTGAGTCACATCAAGACTAGGTACTTGCCTAAAGTCACAGACCCCAATCCCTTCCTACATACAGAGGATCAATACGCATTTTCTGGCAGGGTTGAAGTCATTTAGGCTCTGCAGGCACTGCACGACCCTGCCACTGTGGCAAAAAGCCATTGACAATGTGCATGAAGGCACAGGGATGGGTCCCAATAAAATTTTATTTACAAAAATAGGCAGTGACAGGCCGTAGTTTGCCAATCTCCTCTGCACACTCTGCCAGAATTCAGTTGCTCTTCAACAGACCACGAACAGAACAGTCAGTCCCCTTTTGAGTCGGAGTCTGTTGGACGGGGGAAACATATTCTGAGCAATTGAGAATTCTCCATCTCCCTCTTCCACATACCAGCACTCTTTGTGGAAGTCATGAGATAATAAGGAGGTGAGCGCAACTGAAATCACCCGAGCCTGCGAATCAAGCTGTCTTCCTCCCACCAATTATAGCGCCAGGTTTCAATTTGGTTATCTTTAGTTTTCATAAATAGGGATGGAGGGGGGGAAAGTAAGAAAGACAAAGGTAAAAAAGAAAGAAAGATACCAAACAATCCTCACTCTTCAATGAGAGGAAGGAGGCTATTACCTCTGGTATCTATGGAAACCAAGCAGCGCGCACACTTTTTAATGGCTGGGAAACAGCGCTGGTGTTTGAAGATGTTTTGCCCAAGTATGATACTTCAGTGTAAATGCATTAATTGACAGCTTCCTTCGGGACTTGTTTATTGAAGTTTCCAAACTTAATTTGATGGCACAGGGAACTCTCCGGAGCCCTTGAAGAATGCGGCAAAGCTAGATCTGTAGGGAGCAGAGCCAGCTTGGGCATCATCGCGTACAGATCCAGCTCGACTCTCCCGCAGAGCCAGGGAAGAGCCAGTCCCCACTCCCTGTAGTTTTCCATTAACAAACCCTCTGTGCTCACCTTGCGAAGGGAGAGAGAGGCCCTTGCTAACCTCCACTGAGCAGGAGTCAATACCGCCTCTTTTGTCCTCGAGGGAAATGGAGGAGGAGGAAAGATAGGGGTGTTTTTGCAAATTGGGTGGCAGCGAGGGATGGTAGGGAAAGCCCAGGAGCTGAAGCCAGAGACACTTCAGCTGGACCCCTGCCTTGGCCACCTGGCAGCTCCGTGACAGGCGAGAAGATGCAGCGTCGTCATCTGTGAAGTGGGCTTAATAGCACCCACTTCGAGGGGCTCTCCTCAGGATGGGTGAAACATGGGGTCATCCCCACTCAACAGATACTGTGGAAAGGCAGCTGCTGTTCTGTTGATGGCAGGTTTAAAGACAGAAGCGCACGGGTGGAAATAGTCTGTCTTTCCCCTCACTCAAGGGGCTTCAGTAGTGGGAAATTCCTGGTGTCTAGACTGGAAATCCATGCAGCAAACACCCTATTTCTTCAAGCCAGGGACCAGGCTGGCCACGAATTCCAGGGCTCTACTGGCCACAGGGGGCCAGAACTAAGTTCATGTCCGTGCCCCTGGGACATCAACATTTAAAGAACTGCCATGATCCTTTGTTAAATTCCAAAGACCCCTCACCCAGGCCTGTGACCCACCTCCTCTACATTCCCAAATACCTGTGAGCAACGGGGGCTGGGAAATGGGATGTGCAGATAGAGCCTCTAGGCCAGCAGGCCAGTCCGGTTACAAGGAAAAAGCCCAGTAGGAGTGTAGGTGGCCTGTGGTGGGTGCTGCGATATTCTTTCCAATGTTCCATTCAAAAAGCTTTTATAGTAAAAATTTTGGAGAAATATGTGTGTCTCCCCCTGTGGGGTGTTAG